AATGAATGAATGGAATGAATGAATGAATGAATGAATGAATGAATGAATGAATGAATGAATGAATAGGAAAAGAACCATACAATGAGAAAAAAAGGTTGAACGAACAGGCAGATTTCAGAAGAGGCAGAATATTAGGTCATAGGGTAACATCATATGACAATGACAAGAGCAAGATAATGTGAGAAGATTTATGTTTACTTTATTCACCATGGCAAAGCCTTTGTGCAAATCATGCCAAACTGTGGAATGTATTAAGGCTAAAGGTTATGCCAGAATATTTGAATATCCTTCTGATGAATCGTTATAATAAACAAGAACCTACTGAAAGAACTGTATTTGGAGAATAAAAGGAAGTGGTTCAAAATAGAGAAGAGAAAGAGACAAAGATGCATAATTTCCTCATTAACTGTTTAACAGGTATAGAGAACATATTATAAGAATAGTAAGAATGCAAGTGAAGACCCTGGTAATAAAAGTTTGAAGTTGTAACAATCTGAGATATTTAGGTGACACAATTCCCATTAACTGAAAGTAAGGAACTCTTAGAAATGCTCATTATGAAAGTAAAAAATGAAAATGAAAGTTTGGGCTAATATCAGATATTAAGAGGACAAAGGTAAAGTCGATCATGTCTAGTGAACTTACAGTAAGCAGTGAAGAAGTGAATGAGGTAAATAATTTTGTTATCTTGGGCTCAAGAACAGATAAAAATGGACAGTTTGGTGGAGAAGCAAAAAGGATATTGAACCTAGGAAGAAAGACAATGACACGCTTAGATAAGATCATGACGGGTAAAGACTTTCCAATATTCAATACTGAATATTCAATACAGTGGTCTTCCTAGTGGTAATGAACAGCTGTGAAAGTTAGACACTGGCAAAGAGTGAGGGGAAAAAGCTAAGTTGTCCTCGAATTACGGATCTTGCCACCATGGGTTTTTATTTCCCCCTCCCCTCAGTACATAAATAGCTATAAATCCTGCATACATTCTTCATTTACAAATCTTAGGCTTCAGGGAGAGTTTCTTTTAGAGGATTCCAAGTTCTAGTATTATGAAATAATAATGACAATATCAGGATAAATAATGACAATATCAGAATAAATGTACACATTGAGTCTATCCTGCACCTTGTCCCTTTTTTCTAAGCAACAAAACTCCTAGCACAGTAATTTTTCTTCATGTGGAAGCTGTTGGTGTTATTTTGATTCATTACACGGCTATTCCAATGTTATTATTGCATACTTGGGCTTTATAATGTTTAACCTCTGTTTTCCAAATCATCTAGAGAGTTGCAACATCAAAATGAGGCAAACAAATAATTTGCTGTTTACTTTCCTGTAACAGAGACCAAGAGAACTGCTTTCTTTTACATTTGATCATCACGCTGCTAAAGATCAGGCTAAGCTGCTAAGCTCAGGCTTAGAAGCTAGGCAGGACTGGATTTGGCTAGTACCGAGTTAGAAGTCCTTGGTGAAACTCAGGGCTGTAGACCAGACCAGTCTGGGAAGTAAAAAAAAAAAAAAAGCATCCCAAAAGAATGTCCAACTCAGTGGAAATCCAAAACTTGACAGAAAATACCATTTGGCCCCATTTCCGGGTGCAAATTCTTAGCAGATAAAAGGTCATGTGCAAATCTCAACAGTGGCTAAGGGACGTTTAAAATCTTTTCCCTTAAACTGTTTTTCCTTCTGCAGAATAAGAAAGCCAGGTGTGAGATGTTTGTTAAGCTCTCTCTTCCTATGTTCTTGCTTAAATGAGATTCACAGCCCTATGAGATTGCATTTTCTTTTTTAAAAGATTGGAAAGACCATTCACACATTTTTCTTTAACTGGTCCCAGAGCCAAGGTGGAGAAGAGGAAGCTAGGCTGGATCATCCAGCAGCTGCAGCCGGAGTCCTAGTTCCAATTCTGCTCAGCAAGCAGAATTGCGTTGCTCCCTCCCTGGGTGGGTGGTCAACCTGTTATCTTGCTAAGGAGATGTACTATCTATTGGCCCAGGCAGTACTGTGGAATGGCATATTCTGCACTCTCAGAAGAAGCCTGAGAAAGGCAAGGCGGCAGACCTGCTCCCATGTGATGTAGCCAGTGGTTAGACTGTGGTCTAGCAGTACATCTCTTCCTCACTAAAGCAGCCCAAATTACAGAGTGTTGTCAGTTTGGATTCTGATGATAGAACAACTTGTCCTCTGCCAGACAAATCTTCCACAGCTGGGTTTTCCTGATCTGCTGCTGGAGGAGACTAAGGCATAGCCCCTTCCCCCAACTTGTAGACCACCAAGTGGATCACTTGATTTACAGTGGATTCAGGCACAATTCTCCACACACATCCATTCATGCCCCACTCCCACAACCCACACTTGTTACTGATGTCGCTGGACTTCATTGGATCAGACTCAGACAGGGCAACCTGACTCTGAGTCAATACACGCCACCCTACCCCACGTAATAAGTTGCCTCATCCTTACAGGGATGATTTGGGCTGGCTGACCTAGCTCAGACTGAAGAAGACTGCTTAGATCTGCATTTCTGCCGGGAGCTATATTTACTGCTATTCTTTAAAATGCTTTGCTATGGGAAAGTTAGAGTTCACGAGGCTGTGCTAGTTGGGTGTTCTGCCTATTTTTACAGGCAAGTAGCCATGAGGAACCTGCCAACATTGAGTTTGCATTGCTAGTGTTGTTAATGCTGCTGAGATTTTCAGGCCTAAGTTGTAAATGCAGAGAGCGTTCCGTGGCTTTGTTGGTCTGCTGAGTGCTTCCTCTCAACAATCCTTCCTTCCTTCCTTCCTTCCTTCCTTCCTTCCTTCCTTCCTTCCTTCCTTCCTTCCTTCCTTCCTTCCTTCCTTCCTTCCTTCCTTCCTTCCTTCCTTCCTTCCTTCCTTCCTTCCTTCCTTCCTTCCTTCCTTCCTTCCTTCCTTCCTTCCTTCCTTCCTTCCTTCCTTCCTTCCTTCCTTCCTTCCTTCCTTCCTTCCTTCCTTCCTTCCTTCCTTCCTTCCTTCCTTCCTTCCTTCCTTCCTTCCTTCCATGCAACAGTAAGCACTTTTTTTTCTTTGTGGCCACCGTGGCAAACCAGAAATAGGGTTTCAAAAAGCAACATACTCTTTGCCAGGATTTTTGTGTGTTTTTTTAAAGTATTTTTTACTGATACTTTTCAAAACCATCTCCTTTCAAAAAAAAATTGTAGATGCATAGCAATCAGATTACTACCAGATCTCCTTTGTGGCCCTGGGGTGAAAAACTAGGAAATAAGGGCTTGTTCTGAGTTCCCATGATAGCCAGAACACTCCAAACATTTTGCTTTGTTCCACATATAGTATGAAACACTTGATATGTTCTGGGTTATTTTTTCCTGTTAGAATACTGCTAATGAAGAAGTTTCATCCCTAGTGTAAAACAAAATATAGGTTCCATTTTATGAGTTCCTAGTTGCAACACCACTCATCTTGCTCTGTTTTTTGTTCTGTACTAATCCCATTTGCAGTTCTACATCTCAGACTGTGTTGCTAAGCACTCATGCCAATATCACATTGCCCAGCCCTCTCCTGAGAAGAGGACTGTCCAGAACTCCAACCAATATTAAAATTAAAGGAGCTCCTGCCCAAAGAAGAGTGTTGTGCCTCAAATATTTACTTCCTCCCTAAACCCAGCCATTGTTTTGTAACATCCTGCTTGCCCAAAGGGCTTTCACTGGGATCAAAATGGACACCCCCACTCAGCCCTCTTACACAAGGCCATGGGGGTAGGTTAGCTGAACTTAGTGGAAGTTGCTCTTATGTAAATATAAATTAAGATGAGGATCTTGGCATGGATGCACTTGTGATAAATCAAGGTAGTTATTGTTGAAATATATGATTGGAAAGGGTTATTTATCTTGACAAAGAGATTTATTCATTCAAAGCACCTCAATATATTTAAGACCCAAATCAACCCACCATTACTGCAATGGGATCCTACAAAAGACAAGGCTTTTAAAAAAAATAACGGTTAGTAGTTGTCTTCAACCAATTTGATCAAATCCTAGGCCTTCTGGATTTTCTGCTCTTGATGATTTGCAGCAGGATGAACAGACAGAAAACAACCATATGCAGATTGTGAAAAGCCTGTTATTTTCTCACCTTGGACTTCAGTGGATGCACTACCATTAGACCATGATGTCCACTTGTTCCTTTGCTTGCCAATCTCTTGAACTTTACAAATATAGCGTCCTTGTTCAGCTTGCTGGATATTAAGGATCAAAAATGTGTACATCGTCCTATGTTTCTCCTCAAGAAGACGAAGCCTTTGTTTATAGAAGCGACTTGTGTAATTTCCATAGTACTGGACTATCCCATATTTAGTCATTTTGATCATCAGATATTCCTGGGCAGATGGGAGAGCAAAAACCCATCGGACAGCCAGAAGGTTTTCTCTTCGTCTTTTTTGAGAAACATGGCAAAATAAGGTAACATTATCTCCAACCACATGCTGTATTCTGGGTCCTGGAGAGACAGTCACATTCAGAGCTTCACAGATATCTGCAAAGGGAAAGACAAACAAATGCATCTCAGGAGAGTTGTGCAACATTGAGAAGGAAGATGGTCTCTTTTGTGCAATAAATGCATACTGTAGTTGTTACATTTATGGAGAGAAACAGGTTCAGGAAACCCCGGGAGAAATTTTACTTTTGCTCCTGTGATACTTCATTGTCCTAGCATGCAATCTGCCACATTAACCATTCAGTGAAAATAAAGTTTTGATTTTTAAATTAACTCTCCCCAGGTCAACCTGGAAGACATTTAGCACTTAAATTGTTGTGAAGAGGCTAAATTGGCTCAGTTTTATCAGTGAGGGAATTTATTGTAATATAAAGTAGAAACTTTTAAAGCTCTTTGTAGCTATAGCTTAGTGTATAGTGTATTACAGTTAGTGTAATCAGTCAAACCTGATAGTTAGGTACATTCCAACTTCAATGTGGGTGATGGCCCAGGAGACTTTTTTTCCCCTTATGTTCTGACGTTTTTATTTATATTTTTGAACCAGGAGAAGAACAAATTGATAAGCGATAGCAGACCCCTACACTGAGCAGGGAGTTGTGCTAAAATGATCTCTAGCATCTCTTTCATTCTATCATTCTTTTTATGATATATCTTAACTGATGTCTGAAGAAATTATAGCTCTTTGTAAAAACAAAAACAAAAGGTAAAATTCTTTTATGTTATGGACACCAGAGAAAAACTGACTCAAGTTCATTTTTATTATTCTTATTAGACACATATTTATCCCCAGAATCTTTGCATTCATACTTTGGCATTCTGAATCTTCTTGAACTTTTAAAAAATTCTTTCATTTTATTTATGCCTAGCTAACTTTACCTTATTATAGTTCCCTGAATCTCACAAAAGATATTAAAAGGTAATGAGAATATACAGTACTGTGCAAAAGTTTTAGGCAGGTGTGAAAAATCCTGTAAAGTAAGAATGCTTTCAAAAATATATATTGTAATTGTTTACATTGATCAATTTACAAAATGCAAAGTGAGCAAACAGAAGAGAAATCCAAATCAAATTAATATTTGGTGTGACCACCCTTTGCCTTCAAATGCAAAGTGAGCAAACAGAAGAGAAATCCAAATCAAATTAATATTTGGTGTGACCACCCTTTGCCTTCAAAACAGCATCAG